AAAGATCCCCTTCCGCTGGCTATTTACCTTTAGAAGGACAGTGTGTGATCGTTTGATCTAGATTCACAAAAGCAAGTAAAGCAATCTTACTGACAAAGCATCTCATGATGAATATCATTTTGCAATCTGGAGAATATTTAGAGGACAGGTTTTATTACCATAAATTTCAAAATACCAAGTATCATTCACTACTTAGTCAAAATATTTACTGATTCCACAATACTTTTTAAGTTAGGATGGAGGTGAAAGGAAAATATGAAGGTGATATTTTTACTATGTCAACTAAAGACACAGCTTTTTTTATCAGTGAACTATTTGAGCTGTGATCATTAGGACATGTAAGTGTTGCTAAATGTAAAGTAGAGACAGAGGATTTTAGCAAACTACAATTTAGAGGTATGTATATCTGACATCGGTTTCAGGTCTAAATCTCAAAAAAAATTTGCAAGAGAGCAAGTAAAACGATTTCATATAATAGCAAAAATCTATGGTCTTATTAGCAGAAGTCCTAATTTATATTGTAAAATGTTAAGGTTTTTCTAAAACATGCCGTACTGCTTATTCATAAAAAACTACACATTTGACAAACTACAAAATTTTGATATATTTATATCTTAAATATAAAAGAATTGAACTTAAAACTTTATGAAGACTTATCACAAAGTACACATATTTATCTAGTTTTAGAAAACGATTATATCAATGCCAGACTCAGTGTAACAGTATTTCAAAGGCAGCCTAATGCAGAGGTATGGATGATAAAGCACAGGCTATGATCTAGATGACTCAGTTGTCAACCTATGTATCAAAGGCACAACATAGGTTAAGAAAGACTACTGTCATTTGTGAGAAGGCCAGTATATTGTAGGACCACCTCATATTTGAAGTAAATGTCAGTTACTACTGATGAAATTATTGTTTTCAACCTGAAGAAATTAGTTTAAACTCAAACTCAGAAGATACTTTAAATCCAGATCCATTTTCTTTTTGGGTTAATATGATATTTGTAATGTCAGTCACACCTGGTTTAACACAGTCCTAACATGCTATATGCAACTTATAATATGCAAGTCACATATTGTGTATATTTTAATAAAATTTATATTTTGTTACATATTTCCTTAAGTTGGGGGTTTCCCTGACAGTGGTAGGGCAGTTGGGACTAGATGATCCCTAAGGTCCATTCCAACCCCTTTACATTCTATGATTCTATATTAAGTTTTTGTAAATGCAAAAAAAGTCAGCAATACCCCCCAAATAACTAAAAAACTTTTGCAGTATTATGTAGGTCACTTTTATGCAAAGAAATGAATCCCAGTTTCCTCCACCTTGTGCAGTAAAAGGTCGCACCATAGGCAACAAATCCCTGCTCTTCAAATAGCTTCTAAAACAGATAAAAGATGAAGAAACCCAAAGAAAAGAACTTCAAGAATGAAGCAAAATCTAGGACAGGTTAAATGTCTGTTTTGCACATGAGACCAGTGGTTAACAAAACAAGTTTGGGATGATGATACAAATCTTGTTTAAGCACTACATAGCAGCTCAGGACTTGAAAGTTATTCAGTAACTTCTGAAAGCAGAAGCTCCAGAGTCATGAAGTAGTCACTAATGGCTAATTAATGGTCACTGAAAAATAAAGCACAACCTCAAGCACTGTGAAAAAACGATTGCTTTTCCATTAAGAAAAGAAGCAGCAGCTAAGCAAGAGCAAATCAAAGGCACTTCTGTGGCCTGCAGAATTAACACTCCCTGAAGCATTTTGCATCCTGTCATCTAAACCATTTTGTAAAAGAATGAGATCCCAAACTATGTGTGGGGAAGGAAAGCGAAGCTGGTAGAGAAGAAAAAATATATCTTCTTCAGTTCTGGCTTCCTTTGCAGAAGACCTCTCAAATTTCACTATGTCATCTGTCAACTAGGACCATCAATGGTAGCCATCACTGCCAACACTACAGTATCAACTCCATGGGATTTTATATCCACATTAAACTTAGGACACAGATGTTCAGGCTTTGACTATGTAGTGGTACTAACTGATTGAATGATAGCAAGAACTAATTATAGTGATAATGACAAATAATGCACAGGAGTAAGATAATAGCAAAACCAGTGCTGTTAATGACTTTCAGTCAAGTCCAGTAAAGTGTGGTTGGGTTATTCTTGGATTATTATTTTAGCTGTTTGTTTGATTTTTTTCTTGTTGCTGCTGATTCTTGGGGTATTTCAAAAAAAGAGAAAAACAGTTAAACTCCAAAGCAGTACACAGTACAGCGATACAGAGACACTCCTAACTTTCAGGTCATTTTCAGTTAAAAAGCCATGTTACTGAAAAAAAAAGTTGAGATGTAGAGTACACTATGATCTGTCCACTGAGAAAAAAGAATATTGAAGACCATTTAGCATATATAATCTAATCTTTTCTCTTCTTCTAAGTATGCAACTGTTTGAAACCCAGAAAATAATTTCTGGGATGGTAACATCAGTGAGTTTTCAGCTGCTTTATTCAAGCAATACTTGAAATACTGTTTCTACAGATCCAACATCTGATCCAGTCACCATGTAAAGAAATAATATGCAGCAAAAACCAATTACTCCACAGTCACACTCTAGGTAAGAGTTTTTGGTATTTTTACAGAGGGAGGACCTGGTTATGAATTTTTTAGCAGGTCAGATATAAACATTTTGTGACTGATTTACAGATTCTTAATGAGAAAAAAGCCTTTCCTTGACCTAGTTATAGCTAGGAAAAAAAGGGAGGGGGGATTTTTTTGATTGTCTATGTTACTCCAAAGAATCATAGCAACCTGCCTCTTCAATTAAATACTGTAAATACAGTTCTGGTAAGGTTGTCAAAATAGTAATAATAATAATTTAAAAAAAATCCCACTTTTCATGCTGTTGTTGCTGTCCTTTCTGCTGCCACAATTTGGGTTTTCTAATAGACTTTTAAAAATGTGTTGCAAATAGGTACAAGAAACCTTACAACTTATCAGTAGCCAATTTAGTGTATATCAGACTCGAGGCATTTATAGCTTGAGGTGATCCTAACATCATCTTTTACTCTGATGTTTAGATCAGTCATTCCAGACTGAACTTTAGGTGGCTGCTTACAAGACCAAGAAACCTCTTTCTGTACTGTGTCAGGGACCTGAGTCGTGGCTGAGGCCCTGCCATAGTTGGTCTGTGGTTGTGCTCATCAATATGGCATAGGAAAATATTGTATAGTTTCGGCTGGGAACCGAACCTTGGAAAGAAGAACAAAAGATTAGGTTAACTGGTGGAAACTTGACATTTAGAAGAAGAAACAACAGAGCCGTTGTCGGCACGGAGTTGGTGTCATAAACCATTGTGGTCTTGTTTTGCGTGCTGGCCACATGTGAGCCAATGTCACAATTGGAAAATTCCACTCCTGTGAGGGGGATATAAGAGATGGTTCTGGGTTGGACAGGTGAGATGGACACGATTTTGATCCAGGGGACGCCCTGAAGGTGCATGGCCTGCCTGCCTCTCCCGCCAAGCACTATATTCCATGTCCTCCTGCTCAGCGGCTTTTCAGAAATCCAGGGGTCAGTGTGTATTAATTGCTATTGTGAGTAATGGAATAAAGTTGCTTTGCTCATACACTTCGTGTCTCAGTGTTTGTGATTTTGGGAATCCTCACAAACCTAGAACATGTACACTTACATGATTTAATAAAAAACCTGAGCTACTTAAAGACAAGATGGCTTGTGTGCTCCCTGGCACATTAGCTGAAGTGGTAAGGTTCACTACCAGAAGCCTATGTATACATGCGAGTATATGACGCAGAAGTGTCTAACGCTGGCATCTGTATTCTGGAAAGCCTGAACATCACATTATGAAGAACAGGACTTGAGGGTAGCTTTAACTTTCACTGAAAGACTATCAATTTTCCACTCAAAGCGCTATCAGTCATACATACAACATGTCTGAGAGAAATCTCTTTTGAAGCTGCAAACTGTGCATGAATGCAGATACCAGTTTTACCCTTTCCTAGTCTTCTGCAGACGCCCTCTGTCTTCTGTTAGCTTTGAAAAGATTGTCACTGGTGGTCTTCTGATTTGGTCTTGAATTGTACTTCTAAAGAATTAGAAATTCTGTGTTCAGAGAGCAGTTGCCTGATTTCCCACCTTAAGAGAAAGCTCTAGTCTCACACCTCAAGATATGGATAGTCTTACAAAAATAAATCAGACTTTTGGTCTGAAACATCTCTGAAACTAAACAGACCTACTCTGGCTATTAGAGAAAACTGGAAGAGACAGATAATCATTTATGCCAAAGGTGCCAGCCAGGGCTTGAGTAGGGAACTGTTTAACAAGATCTGCTCAGGAAAAAAAAGAGTAGCTCATGGTAATTTATACAGTAAGACATGTATCATTCTGAAGGATTACAGAAGCTCAGTATGGGATAAAATACAGAAGTATAGAGGATCATCAGGCATCTTTTTTAGTAACAGAGTTCTCACAGTATCTGCCACCTCTTTAAATACAAAATATAGCATAAGTAACTTTAAAAATGCATGGCTCAGGAGTTTTTTGAGATGTTTCAATAGGGACCTGTTGAAATAACAATTGACATACTCAAAGAAAAATACAAAGTACTTTAGGAAGGGCTTATTCTCATAAAAGAACAAAAACGTGTATGCAACCTTAGTCAAAGAAAATGGTTTTGTGATTTTGAAAATGTCTTTTCTCAGGTAAAAAAGTATTCTGAGCATAACCGAACTTATACTTAGTCACACAAGGTTCAATATATTCCAATGGAAAAATAAAAGGTAGCACTATAAACTAAATTGAGAAAAACTGGTAATTAGGAAAGCTCATTAACAATATAAAATCTAAGAATTTCTTTGCTGAAAACTTTAACCAGTGAAAAATCATTCCTCTATTCTGTTTTTTCTCAGAGTACATTCAGATAATGAAAAAATAGCCGATTTATTTCCAGTAAAATGCTTGGTAAAATGCATTTTCTACGTCACTTACCTGTTTTCATTTCTAACAAGCGCTTTTTCTTTTGTTGCCTCTCTTGTTTTTCTTTTTCTGCCTTCTCCTTAGCTATTTTAGCACGTCTCTGTTTTTCTTCTGCTTCCCTTCTTCTCATATTTTCTTTTACTGCTTGCTATGAAAAAAGTAATATAGAGTCCCATGAAAACTGAAGTCTTAGCAAAAACAAAGCCGAACCTTAAAAAAAAAAGCTTTCAAATCTCATCTCCTAACTAATCTTAATTTATCAAACCAAATAAATATTTTACATTCCATTTTTAGTACATTTTATTCAGAAGAGTAAGGAAATTCAGAATAAATATATTAAAAGCACACTAATTGCCCCCAAATAAGGATTATACATTCAGCAAGAAACACATCGTAAGAATACACATGTAAGAACTCAAAACATCTAAATCACTTTGTTTTACAAAATTGTAAGCAGCTAGTATTTGTATTTCTAGAATAGTTTCAACATTTATTCTTTCCCATGCAGCCACTAGAGCAAGAAAAACAAGGCTGTCTGGGTGACAGTGTTGCATTTTTCTTATTCTTATCTACATATGCATTAATTCACTGGGTTTATAAATTCTTGTCTTCTGGATAATATCTATGCAATATTGTTTATTTTGAATTATAAATAAGGACTCTCAAACCTCCAATGAAGCCAAAAGAGAACTATGAGTTTCAAAGTTTTTAAATCATAATTTTGCATATTCAGACATTAAGCAAAAGAACTGTGTCACATTGAATACATTTTTAACAAAAGTATTTTTGGATTACTTTTTCATTCTTTTAGTGTTAGCTATGTACATTGGTAAATTCTCAGTGCTCTAAGAATTTACATTTGCATTATATGTAAAGTGCACCCATTCTCATTGTAGAAAGCTTCTTTTTTCAGAACACAGTTACACAGAATCCCATCTTTCACAATATATCAAAGTGGCCCCACCTACAAAATGGCTAGCATCTTCACAAGGTCTGAGGCACACGCTGCATGTTTGCAGGGATAATTAATGTCTCACATGTTGTTTTTAGCAGGAAAATGTCCAGACTGCACTCAGAAAAAAAATACTAGAGAATGGACTGAAGATTATTATATAGCACAGATGAATGTGGATTTACAGCAGTATTTCCAGGGGCACTGTACTATCACTGTAATAGATAGTGACCATAAGAAGGGGAAAGAAAAATATCAAATAGAACTTGTGAAGAAATACTTATCTTGGATAACTGAAGGAGAATAAACTTCCCATCATGAAATGACAATGAAATGGACTTTTTTACACAAAGCAAAACTGTACTTTCACACAGTCTTCTCCAAAGTAATCTGTCAAATTTCTTGATACAGGAGGAGGAGGTAAGAAGCCTACTACAAAATGCTAAAATTCTTGACTGAATTATTTTTAACAAATTCTTTGCCGATTTTCAGACTAGGTATTCTGTAGAATAAACTACTGGGTCTTGAGCACAAGTAAATACACTTTCCTGACAAAGTGGCCAAGGATATTTCTACTTTGCATCTACTTTTTCCCCAAAATTAACACCAGTATGACTCAGCCTCAGACTGCCATCATTCAAATGTAGGTATCCCTTCTTTCCAATCACACTGATCAAGTAGGCTTGATTTTGTAGCTCACACCTTCATATTCAGTGCAAGTTGGAAGCTTTGGTGTATCACACCTTGCCTCCAGCCTTTCTCTAGCAGGACAGTGATCTTCCACAAATTCTATGTCACAGCTTAAAATTTCAGGCTGATGATGTCTTGGGTACCATTTAAGACACCTCTCCAGGGTACTAGGCACTTCTGGTGTTAGTTCTCCTTTGAGACATCAGGTAGACAGTTCTTCAAATTTCACTAACTGTATTAAGTATGCATCTCCCTGGACTAGAACACAATATTAGACACTCAAACTCACATGCAGATGCCAATGTTTTGAGGTCTATGTCCTAGAGCCAAATCCTATCCTACAAGTTCTATGTGTTTTCAACACAAAACATGTGGCATACTAAGGTCTGGATTTTCTGAGATGGAAGAATTCTTGGGTTCCCTCATGTGCTTTCCAGTGTTGTCTCTAATTTTTGTTTAAGTATTTGCATCATATGAAAGAAAAACGGAGTTTAGGGAACAAACTCTTACTTGGTTGCTCCTCTTCTGGTTCTTGAAGTCATGTTTCTGTTGCAGAGTAACCTAGTGTCAATAGGAGCAAGGGGTTTCTACAATCTTATGATTAGTGTACTGTCTTGGACAGAAGAGTTGTTGGCTCAAGGCCTCTTCACTCCCTTTCCTACAACTGCAGGAAAATTCTAAGCATTAGACAAACAATTGCTTCATCTTGAAAGCTATCCTTCCAAGGAAAGGGATGAGCTAGTTAGCAGTCCCTGGGATGCTGTGAAAGCATAGAGGGAGGTTAACAGAGATGTCTGATACCTAGGATGTTCCACTGACAGTACCAGGAATTTAGCTTCAGAAGTTAAAGCACTGAAGGTAAAATGCTTCACCCCTTTTTTTGGATCTGGCCGACTAACTGTACTGTCCATTTGGTGCTCAGAGAGTGCAAATAATAGCTGTCACAGCTGCCAAATAACACTGAAGTACAAACTCCAGTCCAAAGTTAGCTATGAAACTCAAGTCTATGGCTTCAGATTTATACATGCTTTTTAAAAACTTTTAAAATATTTTCATTAATTAAGAATAAAAAAAGAAGAATTATAAGTAAGTGAATACTTTATGTAAATCATCAACTTTGTATAACAACAAGGATGACTGAACTTCAGCTCCCCACACCTACTGGTGATAAGTGGCCTTTTAGTTTTGGACTTTTTAATAAATCAATGATTTTTCAGCATTAAATTTACAAGTCTTTTGAACTAAATTTTATATGATAACAATCACTTTTAGTTTCTGTCAGTAACCAAGTCCAATACTAAACAATCCTGAAAATCAGACTTCAGGTGTCTCATGTTAGGCATCTCAAAAATCTTTTCTGGAAAGTCTCAAAACTGAGCAGCTACTCAATATTTTGTTTAGTGTCATTGAATGATAAGGGCTTGCATGCCTTATCTACACATCTTTTTCATATACCCTTCAAACTGCAAGACAGAATTATTAATTTTCCTCAAGGTTTCTTCTATCATACTCATAAATAATACCTAACCGTTTTGAAGCCCTAATTAATCTATCTTTATAGCACTGCTGTGAAGCAGAGGTTAATATCAGTGGTATTTTACAGACACAGAGAAGAAATATGGGAAAATTACTGTAAAGCACAACCACTCCCTTAGAGCCTCCATTTCAACATGAACCTAAGCAGTTAGAATTCTTTTTCTACAATATTTACATGGAAGGTGTGGTTTAAACATCAGAAGTTAAAGCAATATAACTATTTTGTAATATTTAGTAATTTTGAAATCAGACTATTGAGTTTCATATTAGGCATTGATCAAGTTAGGAAAACCTAATCAATGCCCCTGTTGAAAAATCTGGCATATGTAATTTGTCAAGAAAAACTTTTTCTCATTGAAGATTGTGCTTTCTAGGTTTTTAGTTGCTAAACTCTGAAGCAGAAGAGACTTAGTAATCTTTAAATGCTCCAAATGTTTGCTAAATATGGGTTCCAGTTTAAGTCCGGTCCTCAAAATAAATGGACATATGAATTTCAAACTGTTTCTCAGTATTTATGAAAGAAATAATTTTCCCTGTCTATATCTTCAGACATGTCTGAAATCCTTAAAAAACTCAACCAACCAAGTAAAACCAAAAAAGACGGGGAAACATGAAAGCACCTTAAATTAAGTGTGTTGTAATGATAAGCATCAGCCTGCCATGAGGAGTAGGTGGTAAAATGACTAAGTGAATCTTTCTACAGATCAACAGGCATTCGTTGGATCACTCCTCCGGATTTTGTCACAAAACTCATGCTCATATAACATTCCTGCAGGAGTGTAGTCAGTAAGTTAAGCTATGTAATCATAAGTAGCCAGATGTGACACAAACTACTTATTATCCAAATTCATATACAACTACATAACGTTACAAGAAATAACTTCTAAGAAAGATTAGGCATAAAATAAACATATTGTACCATGAACATGGTCCTGAAGTTGTTTAAGTCTGTTAAAAACTCCTCCACCGAAACTTTCTTCGGATCAATGGCATAATATCTCATCACGTTCTGATAGAGTTTTTCCATGTTCTCATGCATCCGTGAAAGTTTCTGAAAATCTTCTTTGGCATGACCTAGAAAGCTGTACACTGCTGTTAAGGTTGTAAGAATACTCAGTGAATCCAGTCAAACACACGGCTTTTACTTTACGTTGATTTGTATGTCATACACATTTTTTATTTCATCAAATGAAGACCAAAAGAATTCCTTCCATGTCATATATGCTTTCTAGTATTTACTGTGTATATTAGGCCTATGAATAAATTCAAGAACTTACACCAAAATATCTCAACCACTTTAAATTTAAAGATTATTCCGTTACCATATAATTTCATATGAAACAACGTGAAATGTATGGAACTAATATAACTTCAAGCACTTATGCAGTTTACTTAGTATCACTGTTTCCTTATTGAAGCTAAAAGCTTAGGTATATAAATTTCAATTTACATGGAATTTAGGTACAGATACCAATAATTAACCTGAATGCTTTATCAAGAAATAGTATAGTTCCTACTAAAATTAGAGTAAAAATAGAAATATTGATAAACAGTATTAGCAGTAAAAACCATGAAAGATAAAGAACTTCATCCTAACAGCAATGCATTTATTTCTGTTCCTGATGGTTGCATCAGATATTTATGCTTTTTCTAAGGCTATTTGCAACGTCAATACAACATAATTAAATTAGAGGTGAAAATAATAAAACTACATCTAGAAAAGATACACAGTTTATAAATAGCATCAAAATACTGCACAAATTAAATAAAAAGTTATGTTTATTTAGGACATCTGATAATGTAGTTTGCCAAAGAAGTTCAAAGATTAAATGTTCTACATAGTCATTTCCCTATGCAGGACAACTTCATGAAGTGTTTACTTCAATGGAATGGTAGCTAAACAAATATTTCTGTTCCATTATTTTCCTGCTGTAGTAAAGACTACAAAAGACAATAAATGGCAATTTTACCTTTACTCTCAATTGCCCGCCTCAACTATTGCAAAAGGGAATTTACTCTATTTGTACACTTCCTACTACAGATTAAAAGCACCACGGTCACTTTACTTTATGAAGCACAGGATTTTTAATCAAGTGCATTAAAATCTACACCAACAGAATAGTACAGGACCTGGCAACCTCATACCGTTGGCCTTGGCCCATTGATCCAGCCTGATCAGATCCCCCTGCAGAACCCTCCTACCCCTCCAGATCAACAGCAGATCAACACTCCCACCCAATTTGGTGTCGCCTGCAATCTGACTGAAGATGCACTTGATCCCCTCGTTCATATCATCAGTAAAGATATTGAACTGGACTGGCCCCAATATTGGGCCCTGGGGAACCCCACAAGTGACCGGTACACAGTAACAATGTACTGCCGGGTGGTAACTGTTTCACTCTTGAGCTTTTTGCAATGCACTCCTCTCTCAGCTTTGTTTAGAGGCTGAATCCCATTTGAATTTCACTATTAAATGTCTTTCTGGTTAGTGAAGGTTGCTTTTAAAATATCAAGTAAGAAGTTTATGGGGGATTTTTTTGTGATTTAGAATCCATGCCAGAAAGTCACACAATAACGTTCTCATGTACATGCAGGAAAGGAGAAATAATGCACTTTCACAACATTCTAATTGGTCACTACGATGTCTATTAGCTGGGTCTGTAAGGGCACAACAGCCTTCATTACAACAGTCTTGTAAAAAAGGGCTAACTAAACTCAAGATTTAAATGATTAAAGAAGATACATCTTCCATCACTCCTCAAATATTTAATTTCAGACTTTCTCCAACAAGGCTCTTTTGCCAGTATAAGCTTCTTTCCATGCTTCTACTGACTCCACAAGATGCAGCTTGTAAGAAGCTTCAGACTGCCTGTGCTGACTAACTAGCAACAGCTCAAAGAGTGCTGATGCTATGGGCCCACTTTTCTTCTGCATCAATTTGAATCTCTCTTCTTTACTTGGCTCCCAAGATGAGAATAGCACAGCACACAGAAAACTACTCTTTAGACCTGAGATTCTTAAAAATTATTAAGACTCTTAAAAAGCTGGTGGGACAGCAAGGAAAGTTAGATGAGAAGATAGTCTACAATTGCTGCCTAACTATTAAATAAAAAAGGATTATGAGAAACAAGTCATGACAAAACATAGGTTAGGACCATCAAAAGAAATGTCAGTAGTTCACAAAAACACCAGCAAATCAAAACAACAAAAACAGAGTGAAAATAGAAAAAAGGATTTCTACATATGTTTCCCTTTTTATCCTACAAATTTAGGATACTTATTTTTTGTGATTCTTAGATTATTAACAGAACTTATGGAAAGCTACATGTGTTTTGCAGTTACAAGGCTGCTTATTTCCACAGATTGGAAGGATAAAGGGAAATGAGATAAATGTGTTTTGTTGTCACTATGTATAAGTGCCAAATATCAAACTTTCCAATAACTTCCTCCCGTTTTCTAGGAAGAAGGAAAAAAAAAATTAAAATTATCAGTAAAATATAAACTTCATCTTGTAAATGCCAGAGAATGTCCTGAAAAGAACACTTGGGGAGTGAGGGATGTGAAAGACAAAATTTCTGTTACATTCTTCAAGACACAGCTGAAATTACAGCTATGTTAACAGAGTCCATACAAGCTGTATAGTTTATACTGTTAAAAGTGACTCTCCTTGAATCTTTGATGCACAGTTTTAAACACAAAATATGGCACTCTGGAAAGATGTTCTACTATCTAGTATTTCAATGCTAGACATGATGAATCCTGAGATTTTTATTTTCCATCTGGTGCATTATGGGATATCCCTAAGCTCTTGGCATTCTACTGAGACTGTGCTTCAATTTAGGTATCTTTAATAACTCCTCTTCCTTTTCTCCTTAAATATGGCTTTTGTTAGCCAGCCCTAGCTAAACTGGAGACAACAGGGAATATTACTGAGTACAGCAATCCCAACTGTAATTATTATGAACAGGTTGATATATATACATTATCAACTACACAATTCATTGGTTTTGGATGAATGAAGACAGAAGTACAGCCGAGCTGCAACACAGGTGGGAAGAAAAGGAAATCAAGAAGTTTGATATTTGTTAACTTTTTCTGAAGTGGCTTCACTTCACGGACTGCATTTTTGGACTCATGGGACTACAGATCATTCTGCTAATTAATGGAACAGGAAAGCAATGCAGAGCTGAGACAAGTAATATCTGTGGCAAAATTTCTAACACCTGTATGTTTGGTCTTCCATATTCTGACAGATCTTTTCATAGTGAACTGCTTGTCTGAAGTTTATACTCATTTTAATACATTATGGTATTTAAAATACTAATATAGTGCAGCATGTCAAGCCAAGTAAAAGCAGCTGTTACCCTAGAAGAGATAATGAATGATGTTATCTCCACCGTATATTTCCTTAAAAGACCCTAATATTCACCACTTGTGATATTTTCACAAACTAACCTACATATTAAGTCTAGACAATTGAAAAAGGAATACTGTTCTGCATATGAACAAAAAGATTAGCAGGTGCATAGATGCTGTATATATTTTAGCAGAATCTTCAAAGAGAACTGAGACTGCCACTACACTAGACAACAACAGCCTCCATAAAAACGTGGCAAACCTTTTGAAGACATGCTCAAAAAGACTTCAAGGTCACTCCAAAACATTTCAACAAATGATTTCCTACTAAGAGCAAGGGGTGTGAATGCTGTAGGTCTCTGTTAAGGATTTCCCACGTTTTGGGAAAACAGTTGCAATTGTCTGACAAATAGATGTCAGAGACACTTCTTTTTATAAACATATACCAAGGTTCAACAGAAAAATTCTGTATCTGAATATAATAGTTCAAGAAACACTTAGAAATGTTTAGAGTACTTGTTCAATAATACCTTTTCTTTGATTCATTCCTACTTACCTCTGTGTTATAATACGAAAACAAATTGGCAGGTATTTGTATTACACAAATCTGCTGCACCCAGTGCTTGTATCCCATATATTACAAGCAAAACCAGTGTTAGCTGTAATACATGTGTGAAGTCCAGACCAGATACTAAAGACCCATACATAAAAATTACATACTTAAATTAAATTTACACAGTTAACATCTTGTCCCTCCTCCAAAGAGCAACACACAACCTTTTTTTATCTGAAGAGCTCAGGTCCTGTAATCTTCCAAAGTCCTTAGGATGCAAGGACATCTTACAGACTTCAGTTTGATTATGTTGCACAGGGGGAACTTCAAACTATGAGGTCAATTAAGTAACCGACAGTTTGGGGGCAGCAAGTAGTCTCTTTGCTGCAGTTGAAATGGGTTTCTTGACTCAGGTTAAGTGCTGTTCCTTCCTTCCCTTTTTGCAATGTCAACAAATCAAATTAAATGGCAAGGAAAGAGGAACAGAGAATTGATCAAAAGAAAAGACTTTGTTCCTAGCTGAAAGGCAGTAAGTAATCAACTTATTGTCTCTCAAGAATTAGTTCCATAAGTTTCTGTAAAAAACACCATCAACTACCTTCACTGATAGGCTCAAAGTTGTCAAGAGTTTCTCAGCTGCTACTTGGAAAAGTCAGAAGATGTGAGTTGTACTGATAAAGAGCATGTTGACTAAATAATTTAATTAAACTTTTAATACACAATTTAAATACTCTCCATAAACCCACTAAATTTTTATTTTTAACGTACAAGTGTATTTTGTTCACTGTGCTTTTTTGGAACATTTCACTTGATGGCTTTAATACACTAGATCTGCATCAATTAAATATTCTTTGACTCTCCTAATTAAAGGAAACAGAAGAATTGTGATAATAACTATTATTTCTTTTCAGCTAGCATATGTACGATGGCTGACAAATTAACACAATCTAATATATAGGAGAAATATTCATAATTACAGACTTTGTCAATAAAGGAGTGCACCAACTGTGCATACGTCTGACTTCCTAAAGAAACAAGAATGCTAATCAGTTCATTAGGGGGCTTTGGGTTGTGATATTTAGCGACAGGATGTAATAGCCTGCTTGTCCATGGAGCTTAATTGTATTCAGGATGAAAAATTATTTCCAACAAAGCACCATCCTTTCTTTTTCAGATTTCCTGCTGGTTTCTTTTCATGAGCTTCATGCTTTTCAAGACATCAGCATCACTCAGCTTTCCTTGTCATAGGAATAAAAGTAAAGACAGGTCCAGGTTTCATCATGCTGTGCAGGATTATCTAACCTTTACATCAAACATTTTCTGCTTCGTAATTTATTGAAGTTTCTGTTTTTCTAAAAGTGAGCTTCTTTAATTAGCGTGTTCACAGACATGCCTAGAAACCATATGCAACTTTGCTGTTTTGAAATTACTGCCTGTCTGCTGGGTCAGGTAGTAGGAGAGGGCGAACTATTTCTGTTCATAATATTTACTGTTCAAAATATTGTATTTGAATAGTCTAATACAATGTAATATGTAGTATGGTTGGTGTAAGGACTTAACACAGTTGCTTCTCTCAAACACTGTTCAGGTCACAGAAGGACTTTGCCATGAGATAAGCACAGAAGGGAGTGACAGGATGCCACTAACTCCAGGCCTAGTGGAGGTAAGATCTGGTTGGCACATCCTGAGTAATGCATCCAGGCAAAAATACCCACTATGGCAAACTGCGTAAAGAAGCAACTGCTTGTACGCATATCACCTCAAAGATCACCTCAAGTTATGGGACAGATGGCATCTGCAACCACCAAAGCCTCCTCCCATCCCCTGAACGTGCCTCTGTGGATACCGGAAACTTGGACTGTAAGTTAAATCATTGTAACAGGAACCTGAGATAAGATAATGGTGGTAGTATTGTCCAGGTGTTATCTCAGACCTAGGGTGAGGTTAACAAAGCTGGGGAAGAAGAATATATCACTGATAATGGACACAAAAAATGCAGAATTTATGGCCCACAAGGTAAGCCAGCTCAGCAACTGTGCTGAAATCAACTCCGACTGGGTAATTCTGGCAGGGGGAAATCACAACCCACCAACTCAAGAAACCCACTGACTCAAAAGAAGAGAAAGACTGAGCACGAGACTAATTAGGGTTAGATGTAAGGGAATAATTTAACCAATAGAATAAGAGAACTATGTAGCCAATGAGCATTAATTCCTTTGTTTGCTAAAATGTATAAATAGTGAAAAGTTTTGAATTACCTTGGGACCCCCACTACTGAGAAGCCCAGGGTGAACTACCACCAATGGGACACAACTGGATCCATGGAAGGTGACTATCCTCTGCTTAATCTCTCTCTGTCTCTCTCTCACTATTTCTCCCCTCTTTCTTCTATTTCTCTCTATCTCTCTACCTCACATTTACTGCTAAATAAAATCTGTATTACAGACTTTAGCATATGGTTTTGTTTGCACCTTAATTTGAGCAGAGGCATCTCCCACTAATCAAATTTAACAGTTGGTTTTACCTGTACTGATTTCTTATAACTAAGACCAAATATTCATCTTGCCTGTTTCTGACAGCAGTCAATACTAAAAGATTAGGGGAAAAAAGAAGAAAACTTGGCAATTATAGCATTATAATTCAACTGATGCAGTATTCAGTTTCCAGCAGTCTCCATGTTACTGATTCTTCTAAGCCAAAGCTACTGCTGGAGTATTCTGCTTAACAGCTTCTGATGTACAATCTTTAGTCAACTATCGAAGCCTGAGATGAAATTCATTCACGTTTTCAGCCTATACAGCATCCTAAAAGTAAATTCTACAGTTTGTCTGTTGTCCAAGAAAACATTTCCATTACTATGTTTTAACCTGCTGAACAGTATTTCACATGGGATGAACCCTGGTTCTTTATAAGATACAATGAATATATTCATAACTTTCCTTCTGTATGGAATACAAAATTACAAGTACTTACTGTACTTACCGTATTTTCTTAACTTTTTTGATTTTCCACCTTCAGAGTTTTAATCTATTGAAATGCCTTATGCAGAAAGTATTGCCAACTGCTGCTCACTGCCACATCAGCAGGTATACAGCATACTTGTTGAGATGGGGTGATGGAAGAACTGATGATGTAAGAATATTGCTGATTTTTATACCATCTTAAAATGTTTTCTGCTTGCTTTTAACTGCAATTGTTCCCAATTGTTCTAATATAGTGTTTTCCCTCCAGATCTATTACTCTATAATCACTGAAGTTTACTTGCTGCTTTGTCAGCATCTGTCAGTATCTGCCTTTGACATGAGGATTTTTTTTAAAGATATTAATACAGGAAGAAAAAAACAATCCATCTTTTACTTAAGAAATTTCTTTACTTGATTCAGTTATGCTCTATTGACTTCCTACCTTTAACTGCATGATATAATAGACCTGCAAGGGGTGGTTTCTCTTTGCAAAACACACACTGACTGTCCCCTATCGTATTTTATCTCCAAAAAAATATATGTTCATTCTGTTTTTATTTAGTCTTCATCAGTTTTCTTGGTAGAGAAGCTGGACTTGCAGATCCTCCTTGCAGTTCTTCTAAAAGAACTTAGGGGCTTCTTTTCAGCTTTGACCTGGTCTAGTGGCAGGTGTCCCTGCCCACACCAGGGAGGTTGGAACCAGATAGTCTTTGAGGTTCCTTCCAACCCGAAGTATTCTATGATTCCTTTCTGTCTTGGGCTACTTTAGTTCATGTAAGAATCTGTAGTCCATTACGTTTATATTTTAGTTAATTTTAATTTTTTTTTCAAGTGTTTTGTGACCACTGGTTACTCCTGGGGATTTATTGCTATTTATTCTATATTAAGAAAAAAAATTCTACTGATTCTTTCATTTGACATCATCCTTCCATTCAAAATATTACACAGTAGGATCAACTGAAGTTCTCCCTAGAGAAAACTGATGCAAAAACCAAATTTTAGCTTTATGGCTATGGCCTACATCACAACCATTTTGGTTTACATGAACATTGTTGGTCCCTTCCAACTGAAACAGTCTATTCTATTCTAACGGATTAAGAAGAGCCTGTCCTTTCTCATAGGTTAGATTTTTTAATAGGCCCTTCCCATTCTAACTTCCTAGACTACATGCCATTTTCTTAACAAAGCATTTTTCTCTGAAAATTCTCTGAAAGCTCTCATGGATATATTTTCCTCTAACCTCACGGCAATATTTTACCTCTTGCCTTCAGGTCCCATCTCCTAGTTCTCCTATTATGCTATCAGTTTCTCTGGGGACAAAACTTGCATTTCATATTTTAGAGATAGCATGCTGGTGGGCTACAACATATCTTTTAAAAACACATTGAGCTGGTAAAGAAAAGTCAGCAACAACAACAATAAACAGAATAACCTCAACAACAAAATACTTGACCTTACAAAAAATTAGTAGCAACACTGAAAGGTTAAGATAACCCATACTGTCCAGAGAAGGCCTGAAGCTAAGTTGCAAACACTGGTTGCAGCTAATCTAATGAAGACAAAACTGGTCCTGATGTAGGAAGAACCAGTATATCCACTAGGCCTCAGGGTGGCTTGTCATCTTTCATTTAATAGTAATCAAGAGGACTGTGCCCTGAGTCCCCCCGCCTTCGTATGTAACAGAGTAGTCTTCCAGCTAGGTAATAACCTAACCATGTCTGCAGAGCAAATTTCAATCTGTCTGCTGATATTTTTGTTTCCAGATTAGTCTCAGTGCCAAGCATATATGATCAACATTTGCTAGGGAGGTTTAAGTGAAAGAATGGGGTTTTTCTGTTTAATTAATTATCTTCAGGTCACAGCGTGTTCTTATGAAAGAGAGAGGCAGTGAAGTAGGTGGCAGGATTTAGAATAAATAGTGAGAAAAGGAATTTTGGCAAAAATAAGACCTGAAAACACTTTGCGTGCTATGAGTCCAATTTCTGAAATAAGAGAAATCTTCTGGTTTTGTGGTTGCACGTACAAAAACATTCACAGTGGTAATCCATACACTAGAAAACAAATAGACACAAGGTGACAGACATATTTTTCCAAGATGTTCTGACATCAAAAAATAACTTAACACTAGAGTCCTTAACAATCCTATTATAACTACTTTTCACTAAGTTGTGAAACATACACAGAGTAAAATCTGACAGTAAGCATTTTTCTACTCATTCATTCCACTACAGAGGAATCCTTTAATTGGACTCTTCATGTCTTTAAGTTTCTGAGGGAAAAAAAAGTTAGATTTTTCAAAAACACGCGACACAAACTAGACAGAAATTATGCAAAGAAATTTAAAGTTTAAAGCAATGCAGTTAAATTACTTGGGGATTTTTCTTCTGTTTTGTTTTTTAAGAGCATTCCAAAGGATATTGACATTTTTGCTATAAACTTATCATGCTTATCTTCAGGAACTGGAAAAGTCTGCAAATCCTTCTCAAGCTGTTGGAGTTGCTTCTCCATATGCTTAAGGCTCTTCTCCAGGTTTTCTGCTGAGACTAAAATACAGAACATTCATTCTGTTAACACACTAAACAAAAATCATGGTTTGCAAAATACATGAGTTAGATACATGAGTTAAAACCTTACCCAAATCAGCATACTACATTTTTTAATTCTGAAATTAAAGCACACTAAAGAAATTACAAAATGATGGGGTCACTCTACAATGGTCAGCTCCCTTCACTTATTCAGTTGTCTTTTCTGATTAGATGTATGCTGTTTGAATGCTGCATTTTGATTTATCTTTATGACTAAGGTTTAGCATTGCAATTAACAGTCTGTTTTAAATAACCTGAGATATACAAATGCCAGTCTATCTCTTCTAATTAACCAAAGGACAAGTTCTGAAGCTATTCTAAGAGTCACAAAGCTTTTTTCAATCACATTCTGTTAAAACAGAAAAAAAGAACATTTGTAAGGAAAATCATGAAGCAGAGTCTCAAAACACAGAGAAAATGGGGCTACTAAACACCCATGCATGAAACCCAAAACTCAGTTCCCCAATTTGAAAACATCTGTGGTAAAAAAAACCAGCAGAATTTGTAAGAACGAAGGTGTTTGCCAAGCACTTGAGAGAGTACAACAGACCAATTCACGGACTTTAGAAAAAGTAAGGAGTAGAGCTGAAACATCAGGGATTTACAGAAGGATGTAAAGAAGGTGCAAATTTTTTTTCTTCAGGAAAAAAGAAATAAAACTTTCATACATTTGAATCAATGCATGCAAAGTTGAAGGGTTGATCTGTAAAAGTTGATTAAAATATCAGGATCACAAGAGTAAACAGAGGATGACTCGTTAGTGTGCATTCTATCTTAGAGCTATATTAGTGCAATCAATAAAAAATTATTTCCTGATTGCTTATGAAGTCAACTTCACATTTAAATCTATTCCATAGGAACAATAATAAAGAGGTAAGAACAGACTGTGAATTCTAGTCTAATTACTTTTTAAAAAATTATTTTACTCATAATATACTGTATCTGTAAAGATATAGTTACTTTTAACTTCATTTAAAAAAAATCCCTGGAGAAAGTCTGTGTCCCTATGATGTTACTAGAATCTGTAGAGATCCGTGATTTTGTCTACTGAGTAGAGTTATGTGATGGAAAATATAAAATACAGACAATGAACACATCCTTCTCTCATAGAAGCCTGACAGAGCCCCCAAAGTACTAGAGTAAAATGTTGCATAGCAACTACAATCCCATTCATTGCAGAAAGGTTAACACAACTATAAAATGATCCATGGCAATCTGTTAAATTGCTAATGCAACCTAAAAGAAGGAAAACAAAAAAGCCCAAACAACATGCAGGCAATTTTTCAAAAGAGGGAATAAAAATATATGTTCATGTTATAATTTATAACTCTTCATTTGCTTTATAATCACCATTTTTAAAAGTCTCTGGTTACTCAAAAGCACTGTTTCCCAACTGTATATTAGAGATGCATATTTTCACGGAGGAATCAGTCATGCAAATCATCACCAGGTAAGTCAGCTCTTTTCAGTAGTTAAGAAACTGCCTTGCTTGGGAAGCAAAGCTACAATTGGAAGCTGACAGTGTTAACTAAGATAAGTTTCAGTCTTCACTGGTTCCAGAGACAAACCTGATTTTAATATAAAGTCATACTTCTGCTGTCATAAGAAACCTTTGAAAGTTAGGCACACACAATTTTAAGATACTGATTTACTTAGAAAGCTGCTAAGAAACAGAATACAACTTGTGCCTAATGTAACTATTGATAAGACTCTTCACAATACCATTAGTCTTGAATAAGGAGTTCACAGTATAAATTAGTGATATACTTACAGAATATCAAAATGATGAAACACGGCAAGTACACACGTTTAAAAACAATATAAAACCCCAGTCCACCAAAAAATCCTCTACATCAATTGCAGGTAGTAGCTGAGTAACAGGTACAGTCTTTTACCTAGATAAAAAAACTCAACAAAACAACTGGCCTAGAGCCAATTAACAGGTTCTATACAAGAAATTTTTGAGTTCTTGCTTCCAGCAAAGCCAATTTTTTATTCAAGTGCTTCAGTTCTTTTGACACTGAACAGTTACATATTTGGTCAAGAATCTTTAAATCTCAGTCTTGTTCTGAAGAGTATTTTTTTCCTCTGTCATGATCTTAGGCTGTTCTTCAACTTAAAAATGGAACATTTCTTCAATTTCAGCAGTGCGCAACTATTAGATATATTTTCCTTTAAGACTATGTGCCTGGTGACAGCCTCAAGGAGAGGCTAGTTCACAATATGCTGCTATTAAGCTTGGTATTATTGTCTTTGCAGCTTTCAATTTAGTGAAAATAGATGGAAAAAAAAATCAAACCCGTAAATATAGCCAACTCTTCCATAAAAAGATCACATGAAATACCTGCCAACCTTCCCGTTTTGTCCCTCTAAAAGACATGGTATAAAATTTGAAGAGACATTGAAGAAAGGGAGTTTTTTTCTTCTCCTGCCAAACTTTGACCCCTAATCCAGATTCAGAAATAAACCCAAGCCAAACTGAAGTGTGCAACTCACATGCTAGTTTAGAAACAAAGTCAAAACCTGTGTTTTTGAATATTAGTGAGCCCACAAAACCAAGCTGTTCATTGAGTAAAATGCATGTGTGCCTAAACAATCCCCTACTTATATCCTCTAAACTCTCATATCCCTTTTTCAAAATGGCTCCTGATATTTTTATAGGCAATAATTAGATTTTCTCACTGTCTGCTTTTTATGGTTATAACAACTTTGTTGTTAAAGCTTCCACTCTTGAATCAGGTTTTACAACACCATAATTATTGTAGAAACCTCTTCACCTACTTCTGTTTTAAAATATTTCTGCATAGTATTTCAGGTGATGACTCACTATTACACTGCATTACTATTTCTACAGTTTTCCTCAGAATACCTTACCTGACTAACTTACAATAAAACATTCTTTTTTTCTTGACCAAAGCTCTTATTACAGTATCAAGATGCATGATCTTGTACTTCATGCTATCAAATTTCTTTTACTCTGCTTCCGCAGGATTATTCAGTGACGACAACCAAATGATACTCTCATCTGGCAAACTATCTAACCCTATGTCAGACACACTCACTGGTGAAATATCACAATTTCATAATTTTTTAGTCATATTCCTTTTAGACAGGATTTTGTTTCTTCTACTTTTTATTCTAATAAGTAATCTCCCATTTTACATAATATCAAGTATTTTACTGAAGTCAACATAGATTTCATGGGACTGAAAAAAATGAAATTAATAGTCAAAGCTAGCAGATTAGTCTACTACCAATAAATTTATTTTCATTTTATGCTACCGTCATTAACCTCCATGTTTGATTATTCTTTCCTCTATGAACTTTGATATCAGTAAAGTCAGATAAAGAGATGTGGAATTGCCCAAATCATGCTTTTCTCCTCAGTTTCTTAAATATTCTGCAGTCACACAACATCATTATAGCCACAGCAAAACTTGGTAAAAAATGTACTTAGCAAACTTTTAGTTTTAACTCAGTTATGTCAGAATGCAGAAAATTAAACTGGTATTTACAATACGAGAATACAGTACTCTAATTTTTTTCTTTCGACAAATTTCTGTGAAGAATTTTTGCTCTCCTCTTCCCCATCCCCAAATCATTATTCGTGCTTAAAATTAAAAGTGTTTCATTTACTTTTTAGACTATACCTGTTTCATCTTAAACACTAGAAATAATTCTCTAATGTGAAGCAGTACTTCCCATGTGCTCTCTTATTTCTATTGTTGTAAACCTTCTGCTACTTTTGGCATCAGATTTTTCAGCTGATATTTCAGAAATCCTACATGCTGCTGTGATGTCACAATCTCCTTATCATGAGATTCTTCCTCTTGCCTACAGGTGTTTTTCTTCCCTTGTGCTATTCTGGTCCCTATTCTGGTCCCTTTATTCTGAGTGAGTGACAGTGACAAGCTGACCTCTAGTCCCATAGAGAAAACTATACCACATTATAAAGAAAATTCTGGAAATATACTATTGCTTTTGCCATGCAAACTTCATAGTGGACTGATGGAGTTTACTAACTAATTCTCTAAAATTGTCAGCACATTATTGATGTAGCATTTAAAAATAAAGTTAAATGACAAAGTGTAGCCAAAAAAAGCTCAATAACCAACAATAAAAACCCCCACCTGTATTTTTGGGTGGATTTAGAGCACTAACAAAGAAATATTCCAGAGGCAAAATATTGGAGGTTTCTGTAAACACCAGCAAAGATCTAAAATATCCATTGAAATATCCATTAACAGTAGCATAAGATCCTGTGATATACTGAGTGTCACACAGTGCTGAAAATACAATATTTATGCTTTATTTCTCCCAAAATGACGATTTCACTTGTCTCTATAGCCATTTTCTGGTTTTATTGCCTTTTTGTCCCCCTTTCTTCCACGTGTGTATGTGTCTAACATATGCATACAAACGGCTTTTGAGATCCTTTTTTTCCACTGGCTCATGAGCCCTCAGACGCTCCCTTCTGTAGACATAGCAGACTTCAGCTGCACACGTGAAAAAAAAACAGCTCTCCAAGGAGAATTTAATTAGTTGTCTCCTATTTTGATTTCAAATATGAACACACTAATGTAGTGTAATTGGTAAACAATGTAGAAGCATTTTTGTACCCAGTTCACTAGTAATAATATTAACATCATAGGCCTTTGGACCTTATGCCAACTGTGCCCTATACCACCTACACAAGAGTCCTGGCCTGTTGGACTTGTTATACTTCGAGTATCCTTGGTGAAATGCTGTCTGACACCACATCTCTTTTTATAATATAGCGTTTAAGCTCAGAACTTGAAAATATGGGAAAAAGCTGAAAACAGAAACACTTGAATGACAAACAATTCACTGATGGTCAGTTATTTGTCACCAGATTGTTACTGAAATAAAGAAGCAGCTGCTAAGGCAAGGAGAAAAAATGGCCAAGTAACAGGATACAGCACCTACCCCAGCACAGG